CTCCCTTCTGCGTTTGCAGAACTTGTTTCATCGTTGGCCCCAGTGGCTACGATCTCGCTGTATAAACGGGCTTTGCAGCCTGCGGTGTTAGGGAAAAAGGGTTTAGCTTTGTCGCAAGCGAGCAGGTATTTTTTTAGACCTGGATTACATAGGGCAGAGTGTGTGCCCGACGAGTTTTCAGGCTAGAGAGACTTGAAGAAAAAAAGTAGGAATGTTACAAAATAAATGAGGATTGTCATAGTACACAAAAAACTGTATGAAATTTTTTGTAGTTCAGTGTTTTAAGTGGTTTTATACAGCTTTTTTTTTATACTGAAAATACTGCTTTGCTTTCTTTTCAACCACATAAATAAGTTTCAATAAAGACAGCCCTTGGCAGCATAGCTCAATAGTTTTGTTGCAACAAAGGGAATAGCTACAGTGAATAGTTTGGAACTATTGGAGCTTTACATATAGCCCTTGGTTTTTTTAGTGGGGTGTACTCATTTAGTTAAAATTTTCTAATCTTTGCATTGTATAAAAAAGCCTGGCAGCAGCTGCTTGTCCAGTTCAGTCTGATTCAGAAGTGTACAAGCTTAGAGTTCTCTGAAGTCTTAATTTTTCATGTGGGATTACTTGTTTCAATAGAGGGATTTGCAGCCTCCTGAAAGATCCCTGTAGATTTTTCAGGGATTTGCTAGGGGAAACTTAAGAAAAACAGGTTTGCTTTTGTAGTACAGCACTGTGTGCAACTGAAACTTTTATGAGGCATCACACCTTTATTGTAAAGATTTTAGGCACAGAATCTTAAATAGTTGAAAGTTATTGTTGTTGGAGAACATAACGTTTGTATGTAGTTACTGTAAGTTGAAATTAAGTAAGAAACTAGGGAAATACACAGCCAAATCCAAAATGTTTAGAGTGTTATATAGAACAACATATGACAACTGAAAGTGTGTTTGTTTAATGTATTTCAAACTTGTTTTTTTCCTTACAGTTAGCAAACAAATACTGGGCTCCGCATGTGAAGAAAAAGTTGCCTTTTGATTCAAAGGTAAATATTTTTAGTGGTATTGTACCACGCTGTAAAAGAATAAGAAGCAATACTTTTCTGCCATGCTAAACTGATGCTTATTTTTGTAAGGGTATAGGAGACTACTCGGAAAGTCAACAGTTGCTTAGCACGCTATTAGCTGTTGCTTAAGTTGTTTGTGGTTTATACACATAGGTACCGTTCTGAAGAGGTGCTATAGCAGTGCAGTTCTTCTGCATGCTATTTATTCTGTTCGTTTTAGCTTGAGAGCTTGTGAGGGAGAAAAAGATGTTTGAGAAGGGGGCACTGTCAGAAATCAAAGAAGGACCAAAGATGCAGGTAACACTAAGCTGTAAGGGTTCCTTTTAAAAACTTCTTCAGAGGGTTTTGATCAGAGAACTGAAGTGGTGTTTTGGTGGTTACCTGCATTGTGAATGTTTAAAATTTGGCATAATGTTTTTGGTTCTCCGTTGGTTTTCTGTAGTGCAGGCTTCTCAAATGTTAGTTTTCATTCCCTTGTGGATATTTGGCTTAACCGTCCTCTCTTGCCTTAGTTTACCCACTTTCTTTACAGTGTTTGTGGTAATATTTGCATCTGTGATTGTTAGAGCTAGAATGTAGATGATCAGCTAAATTACAACTCTGACAGCAGATGTGATATCAGAATGTGCCTACCGCAACAGATAGTGCAGATGAATTGTCTACAGTTCTTTCAGTCCTATTGGAAAATATAGAACAGTGTGGATTTGGTCAGTTATAAGAAACAGTGGCAATTGATGCCTGGGGTGATACAAACTTGAATCTTCAAGACTATTCTTTAAATTCAGCAATAGACCAAAGATGAGCCATAAAAAGGTATACATAGCTGTTTGACTTGTGTATCAAATCTCAGTGAGGTGTAGGTTGTTCCTTCTGAATAACTTGAATGAAGGTCCTATCAGTTCTCTACCATCGTGTGCTTTTTATTCCCCTTAGCTGATTAATTTTTTTAGTGCGGATGTCTGTCTGTGGAGCTTTTGGTCTCCTCAGAACTGAGACATATCTGTTATGACATTTTTGACCAAATAGCATTACACAGAGAGTAACTAATTCAGAGTAACTTTGAGTGCATAGAATACTTGAATGTATTTTTAATCATGTCATTAAATATGTAAACTTCTTAAAATTCCTTTTGAAATATTCTTTCCCATAGGTTATTGAAGATGTGTATGCAAAAGAAATTGTCAGGTCAAAGTAAGTACGTCACTAACAGACAAGTATTCCAACATTTTCTCTACTGAAATGGTCTTAAATGTTTATTGAACTACTTTAAAATACACTAAGATGAAAATAACTCAAGCACATTTGAGCCATTTAATGGATGATATCTCATTTCAGAGACCAAATGGGGTAAAAAGAAAACTCACGAGCTCACAGTCCTTAAATATGAGGGTTGGATTTAATTGGTTCCTTAAGCTGTTACTCTGCTTGTTGTAATCCTTGCGTGGGTGATGTGTGTTGTTTTATTTTTTTTGTTGTCACAATGGTTATATGGCTGGGCCCTTCTTTTGCCACCCAGTTATGTACAGAAAAGATCAGTTAAAAGCTAGCAGCAACACGCTCCTCTGCTCAAGTCTTATTCCATTCAATTGCAGTGTTAGAGAGGGGAGACAAAATGTCACGTTAAACTATATTCTACAGCTGCTATACAGACGAGAGTTGTAGTAATAGCTGTCTTTCTTTCCAGTTCTTCAGGGGAGGTTTCAGCTCTGGAGAGAATTCAGTTTATGATTGTTTTATGAAAGTAATTTAAGAATTGCCATGCAGGTTTGGAGCAGTGACTAAGAAGTGATACCATTATGTAATAGCCAGTATGTAGGAACCAATCAAGTATCCAGTCATGGTTTCCCAGAACACTCTCAGCTGCTAGTGATTTGTGACTTAAAGACTGTTGGAAGTGGTATCTTCATACTTAAAAGGTCTAGATGGATGCCTTTATGTGAACTTGTTGATTGATTCCTTAATGAATACACATGAACTTCTAGCTTCCACAGTGTAGAAGTTACAGGAGTGGCTTCTGCATTCAAGTGGTTGCTCTTGCATAAAACCTGTAGGGGGGAAAAAAATCTTCTAAATGAATGGTACAGGTTTCATTATATAACCAAATAAAGGAAGAGGTAGTCATTTTCCATGTAGCTAAGATGGGCGTGGAGGCTTTTTTTTTGTGTTGATTGATTGATCTTTTTCCCCCTCTTCCTTCCCCTTCAGGTTTGCTATTAGGAAGATAATGCTTCTTGAGTTCAGGTAAGCTATTTGGAGTGAATTTTTAAGGTATTTTTCTGTAGCAACAGGTGAAAGTAAACATGAGAAATGAATGTAGAACAGTAAATCAATTTGAAGGTGGTATACTCATATGTTCCTACATACTAAAGCCTCGAGTTTGGTGCTTAGGCAAATTTAGTGAAGAGAACTTTATTTGAGGAAGGAATAGTTTCATAAGCATAAATAACATGCTGAAGGTCTTGCTTTATGACTCTAAATTTCTAATGTAAATGAATTGCTAGCACTAAAGAAGAACCTAATATACCTGAAACAGGTGATAAACTTGGATCCATAATTCAGGATGCATCATTAAGCCTTAAATCAGAATTCACTGAAGTCGGTGCAAGTTTTCACATTGTGTCTCTTACAGCAAGGGGAAAAAGAGAATTGTTCTGCAATAGTATCACTGAAATTTTCTTCACCTGAAAAGAAATGGAAATCTGTTTGAAACAGTTTTAAGATACTTTTAAACTTTTCTGGAAGCTTATCATAAAACATGTGTAAAATCATGTAAAATACATATATGCAATATTTACATATCTTTAAACACAGTAATTAGTCTTTTATTTGGCTCTGTTTTATCGCAAATCTTATGGGCAGATAGAATGAGATGGTGTTTGGCTAGGATGGATGCTTTCTTTGTGAAGGCTGAAATGTGTAAGTAGTTCCACTAATTAGAAAAGTAGGATATACTTAGTATTTCATTTATGACACTGGTATTTCCTTCCATTTCATACTTTACTAATGGAAAAGGTGGCAGGGAAAACGTAAAATAGAGTTTGTGGGTTTTGACAAAGACAAATGGTATGCTGGTAGCGTGACTGTCCTGGAGTTTATATCTATACAAAGAAATAATGTGCAGCTAGCATTTTAATCTTTTCTGTGAACCCTCTTTCTTCATGTTATCAGCATGTAACGTTGAATGTAGCTAGTACTTTTTGGTATATAGCCCCATCTGCTGCCATATGTCCTGTAAGTCATTTTCTTTTCCCTCATTATCCCTCTTGCAATTTCAAACTCTCCTATCTTCACAGATATGAGATATTGCCCTATTTTTTAGATTTCATTAGAGTTCATGTACATTTTTTCTTACTTGAGGGGCTTAAGGTTATTTTTATTAAAATATATTGAAGTTTACTGCTGTCCTTGGGTGAAATGAAGTATGGCGTTTTGGGTTTTTTGTTTTTTTTTTTTCCTCCCCTCCTATTGAAGATCCAAGCGCTCTACCCAGTTCCGTAAGCCCTTGGGAAGTGTTATGCGTTTCATTTTGTATACGCACCTGTGAAATTCTCTCAGCTCCTTCGGAAGCTACACGTTCTGACTGAGGTTCCAGAAAGCAGAAACGCGTGTCGCCTCTTACTGAGTCCTTTGCTCCCGGTTACAGCCTTGCTCTCGCTGCCTTTCTTTTTGCTGTCCGTGGTACTGGTCTCATCTGAAAGGACTGAACTAGCTTTCTGCAAGGCATCAGAAAAATAAGCTGTGAAAAAAGTAAATAGGTGTTTTAGCCATGCTAGAAAACTGAGTCGGCTCTTGAGCAGCCGAACAAATGTTAGAGCTGGTGTCAAGAGGAAGGAATGGCTGGGCAGCCTCAGGTTTAGGAAGGAGCAGGATGTTCCCCTTTCTGGTAGCAACAAGATGTTAAATTAGCACATGGCATAAATGCACCGTTGTAGATGATGGACTTACGGATTGCCTCTTCAGGAGTAACCATCCTGCATAGTTACTTCAATAAAAAGTTAAAGGAGGGAGACTCTCGCTCCAAATTTTCTTTCATCTCTGCACTCTAATTTTGCAGTTTTCTTCTACGAAAAAGTGTCATATTAATGAAGAGAAAAGTTCCCATTGCTGTGAAGCTGCAATTTCCCAGTGTCTAGTTGTTCCCTGAGTTTAGTTACCCTGTGAAGTCACAGGTGAGCAGGAGATTTGAACATCCATTGCTCAGTCAGGGACAGGTTGTTTTTTTTTGTTTTGTTTTTTCTTTTCACCTTGTTGAAATCACTTAATCACTCCCCTAAAAATAAATGCTTTATTTTAGTCACGCTGTATTTTCATTGCCTTTATATGAAGATTATAAGCATAAAATCTCTCTAGATGATTTCTAGCTTTGTCCAATAGTGTATGTAATAATGCAAATAATGTAAAATAGTATACTGTGAATTTTCTCTTAAGAAAATTAACATTTGCATCTTACCCTAGGAAATGATGCATGTGATGTTCTTCAGACTTAACTTGTTTTTCTTCTTCCTGGAAAATCAACATGAATTTGTATTCTGACTTTGTACTGAACTGTGGCTGCCTGTTGTGGCTAAGTGAAAAACTTCTGATCTGTGTGTCCTCCTAATGAGAAACTCATCTGTCTCTTGTAGCAGTTATCTGAGTCAGCCATTAACAAGTTTTGCTGCAGTGACCTAGACGAGAGGTAACTTCAGGAACTATTCACAAATTATAAAGATGGATTTGAGGAGGAGGGGAAAAAAACCCCTGTGGATAACTGCTTTGTCAAGTGAGTGACAGATGATGTGGGTGGCAGAACCTGATGAAATATGCTTTGTCTTTTCACAGCCAGTACCTTGAAAATTACCTATGGATGAATTATTCTCCCGAGGTGTCCAGTAAGGCATATTTAATGTCAATCTGCTGTATGGTGAATGAGAAGTTCAGAGAGAACGTACCTGCGTGGGAGGTAACCAATTTCAATTACAGCTAGAATTGACTTTGATCCACAAGTTGCAGTTCTTGCAGTGTGCGCACTTAAACTGACAGAAGATAGCAAAGCTTGTAGTGTTAAAAGTAAATGGTATCTTGACGGGAATTTCTGTCATGGTGTTTTAAATAATAGTATGCTCTTTTCTTAGAAAGCAATGGTCAGATGAAAGATCACCTGATTCCTTTGGGTGCATGACTCCTCTGTTCTGTTTGTGTTGCTTTACATAGCAGCAGCGTGTGCTTTTTTTGACATTTGACAAGTCTGGCATTTGGAGAGACATTATTTTGCTGAAATTATTTTAAAAAAAATAATTTATATCTATGGAGGTAAGAAGGTATCACTGGAAGTCTAGCATTTTCTTTATCTGATAGTATCTTGCCTTAAACCTGCAAGTATGACTTTGTAGCTTTCTCATATGAAATTTTTTACTAAAATAATCTCTTACACTGCTTCTGTGTATGCTATTTTATGTAACAGTAGTTCAAAAATATAGTGTCCAAAATCCACCAGGCTTTCTGATTCTTTAGGTCTAAGGGAATTGTTTTGACCTGTGTCATCTTGCAGTAATTCTGTGGGATCACCAGTTGAACACTCCCACAACACAGTGTTCTCCACTTGTGCTGCTTATTCCGCTTCTCCTATGTGTTACCTGTGTTAGAGGCCAGGCAGAAGAATGCAGTAGTCCACTAGGAGCTGTCCTATAATGTGAGGATCCCTGATCAGGAGAATATTATTTAGTCTTTATTTTGTTTATGCTGTCTGACCATGATAAACAATAGAGAGATGAAGAAGTCTCTCCTTTTTGGGGATTTAAATGGATTTAAAGTTCTTAAGCGATGTTATATGAGTGAAGATTGAAATAACTTATATCAGCTTGACTCAAAATTAACTTGCTCCTTTATTCCTAGACATTCAAAAAAAAGCCAGAACACTTTCCCTTCTTTTTCAAATGCATACTGGAAGCATCGCTGGTTGAAAATGACAGTGAATTCTCTCTACATGAACAGACAGTCCTCCTACTTTTCCTTGATCACTGCTTCAATAGTTTGGTATGTTCAAGATGAAGAGTGGCTGTGCAGTTCTGTGTTTAGTTTGATTAACTTGTTCTTGGGAAACAGGCCAATAAAAATTTCCATTTTTCAGAAGAATTTCGTACTGGAAGCCTTTTCCCCTCTTTTTGACTCTTGCTTTGTCTCTGTCACCACATTTACTTTGTTCTGGTACAAGGTGACAAAAAAGAGAGACTCAAAATTGAGGGAATAACACTTGGTGCTAAGTACAATTTAAAGGGATACATTTAGATTTATATTAAGATAGTGTATTGCACTTAAAAGCAGAATACTTGCTACTGTGCTCTTTTTAGTTCGGTTGGAAAATTGTGTGAAATGATTTTCATTAAATATTGAGAGACACATAGTAATTGTTTCACTTTTAAAACCAGGTTTAGATAATACTTGTATCTGCATTTATCTTGAGTTAGTTTTAAGAAATTATTGGCCAGGTTGCACGTTCTTAGTCTGTGATTAAAAACTGCAAATAGTTGTAGATCATGATTTGCAAGTCTGGAGAATAACTTAAAAATATCTGTTGTATGAAACATTGCTTTATTTACTTGTCTTGACAGTGAGCTTTTCCTTTATTTATGTAACACAATGCATCAGTTAAAATCAGGGTCTGCACAAATAACAAAATAGTTCCTTGCAAACAAAATGATCACAAAAGTATGTGATTTACTTTAACCGTTAGTGGTAACTACGAGAGCCAGTAATCGTTCTGAACCTTATGTGCAGTTGTTGATGAGCTATTATTGAATTATTATTTGTATGGTTGTTGTTTTTCTGTAGTGGTCATGGTACAACGGATCTTAATTTTAAAGGAGAGTTTGCTAGTCACTTTATGGAATCCTGCATGCAGAACACGTTTCTCATATAACACAATATGGAAGCTAGTATAAAAGTGCTTGTACAAGCGAACTGCTATTAGAAGCTACACTTGTTGCTGGAATGCAGAAGAAAGTAATCACAATAGTGTATTAAATAAGGAGCATTAAAATGCTGAGGATGGAGTATGCGTCCATGAAGTGATAGTTTATGATGTTAGTGGAAGTTTTTCAGTAGATTAGGAAGGAAAAAAACTTCATGGCTGGGGATCGTGGGCAGAGTTGGAGGTTTGAAACAATGGTTGACAGTACATGAATTGGAGAGAAAGACGGAGTTATTTCAAATAATGGGAAGAGAGTAGATTATGTGGAGAAACTTGATAAATGAAGGGCGAAAGAGAGAAAGGACTGAGTAAAAATTAATAGAGAAAACATAGTAAGGAAATTCAGTGTGAGAATGAGAAATGGCTGAAGAGGTAATGTTGATTCTTACCAATTTCTATGCTAAAACACGTGAACGGTACCCCAAAGTTTTAAGAACTGACAGAATCCATGAAAGGAACCCAAAATGGAAAAGTCATCAACAGTTTGAGTTAGTGGGTAGTGGTATGCGTTTTCCTATTAGGAAATCTGTGAACTCTAATACGAAGAGAATATCCTTTCAGAGGGTAATTCACGTTGATCTATTTTGTAAAAATACGCTTGCAAGACAGGCACATGAGAAGACGTAAGACTTTTAAAAATTACTTTTCTCTCTGTAAACTTTCTAACAGGAAGTGGATTTGATCAGAGGTCAAGTGCAGCAGCTCATTTCCTTACCGATGTGGATGGCTTTACAACCTGTAAGCATAACACTGTAAACGGGCAAAACAATCTTCTTGTCGATATGTGACACTTGGAATGTGAATTGTGTGCTGACTGTTAAGGAAGGCTAATACAATGCTCCCTGCACTACTGTATTTTTGTGTACTTGGTAAAATTCTCCTTTGAGTTTGTTGTGAATTTCCATGTAGTGGCAGTCCTGTTTGTTTGTAATTGTTGTAAGTTTTGCGTAAATCTAAGCTTTGTTTTTAGCTCCCCCAAGCTTGTAACTTACAGGCAAGGCCACAGGACCGAAACAGAAAACACTGAAATAGGAAAGGGAGGAATACAGAAAAGCCAAATGAAAATGATACATTTGGTGGGTCTGAGGGAATGAGAATGAGCTAGGTGCTCTAGACAGATAACAGTGGCGTCAATAAACATTTATCAGAACTAGAATTTGAAATTATGGAATATCAGTATTTGTTCTATGTGCAAAAATCCCTGCATCTGAGTGACAAACTTTTCATTTTGTCATCATTTCTAGAGTGAGTCTACTAGATAAATCTCTTTTGTTTGTTAGCAGAAGCTTTCCCATGGCAGAAGAAAATTTTTTCTACCATTAGGCCCATGTGCAAGCCAGTTTGTTTCCATGTGTTGGAGATCCAATTTTTAATTTCCTTTGAATTAAAATCTAAGAAATAAGAAGGAAATGAGGTTTCAACATCCAAGCCTACTGAAACGAAGATAATATCAGAATAAAGTTGCTCAGATTTCTTAGTATGATTTTTTGGTGGTGTAGTTTACACTACCTTAAAACAGACTGTACTCTCTCTTAATCAAAATAAGGATGATCTTAGTTCTGGTGTTTGCTCGCTTTAAGAAACTATGTAGCTTGATTCTTAATATAGTTATTTATTTGTAATTGAGTATAATTGAATTTTAAAAAGGTTTTACGTACAATTTGAATTAATATGTACATTGAAGACATACGGATTTAAGATACAAGTTTATTTTGTAGAGTTAATGCAATGTGAAATGAGATAGCTTAGAGGTTTTTTTATATCGTTTCTGCTTGTTATTGCTAAAGAGTATAATCTGTCATTTAATTATGTAAATCCCTTCTATGCCTATTTTTACAGATCCTCATGTTAATCAATTCACTTTTTCTTATAAATTTGTTCTAGTTACAGCTGTATGATAATATATTTTCCTTAGTTTGAGGAAAAATTATTTGGTGCCATTTTGTTCACGTGAGCCATTTTGTGTATGAGTGCAGAAAAATAGGGTGAAATTTCATGTCATGTTTTTCTATATCAGGTAATAGTTGACAGTCTCCATATAAAAGTAACTTCTTTACTTTAATAGAAACTCTTTGGCTATGAAACTGCTCAAAAATATCAAGGTTTAAAAAAGTCCAGGTGTCGTTATTGCTGAAGTGTTCTAAAATTTGTTACGTTAAAAAGTTCATTTTGGGAATGCAATTATGTTCCAGTAACTCAGTAGATCATCTAGGCACAGCTAATGAATATTTGAGTGAACTCTCTAGCGCTGTTACATTCTTATTTTACAATGCTCTCTGTTGAGATTAGTCTGAGTAAGCTATTTATTTTAGGTTGTTACATATTTTTCTTCTTTTATTTGTAATAAGGAAGCTGGATTACACTTTTATCTCATGTGAAAACAAAGATTCTTAATAACTGAATAACATTTTTACCTTTCCAGAAACGTCTGGAACAAGAGCTGAAAAAGACACCAAAGCTAAGAAAATTCTGGAATCTAATTAAGAAAAATGATGAGAAAATGGATGAGAAAACAAGAATGCAGTATGTTACAGAGAAATCTTTTCCTGTTAAATCCAAAGCACTTTGTGCATTCATTATAATCTAGCTAAGCTAAATTTTTGAGTAATAAAGTCTATTTAAGAAAAAAACAAACAAACAAAGATGACAGATAAGTGATCCTGTGTGGTCTCCTGGAAACTGTTTTACTTTCCAAGAGTTATGCTAAATACTGTTATAGAACTTAACGTCTTATTTGATCAGTGAATTCATGATACTAAATGATAAAAGCTGTAGGATGAAAGCCAGAGGATAATACTTATATAGCTACTCATGCCTCTTTTTTTTTTTTCCATGACCTCTAGCAAAAGTTTAACTTCTGTGCAGATAGATAATATCTTATTTGAATAAACTTGTGTATCTCTCACTGAAGTTAGCTGTTCCAAATACTTCTGCGTTGTTATGTGGTAAGGCGTAGGAGGTGGCATACTTTTCTTTGACTGTATAGAACCATGGGTAGTCAGCTTTGTGCTGTGTGTGATTTAAAAGTGTAGACTATGCTAATCTGACTGCTTTAGTGGTAAGAGCAAATTATGATCTGAACAGTTTAGGTATGGCCTCAAAGCAAATAGTTATCTTTACAGGAATTTTAATTCAGTTAACTTTGTGCTAGTAACAGATACGATAAACTTCTAGCCTGCTTTTAAATGATATTAATTCTTTTGTCATATATCTGATTTTAGAGCATATCGGGAGAGAAGATTTCTTTCACAGCTTATTCAGAAATTCATTTCTGTGCTAAAATCAATACCTGTCTCAGGTAACTGTAGTGCGTATGTTATTTTGCTGTGTCTTTTTAATCTGTCTTAAATTCTTCTCTGTTGCTGAAGCGACTGTTCCTCAGCATACTAACCTGGAATTGGAGATGTGATTTGAATGGGGTTTTAGTGAAAGCCTATTTCCATGGATCTAATGTCAAAATTAGGATTGAAATGTGTATATGCTTTAAAACTGAAATAGCAGAAGGTTGCTCTAAAACTGTTCAGTTGCAGACTTCAAAAAAAAAAAGTTGAATCGTGATATTCATCATTATCTGCTTATACCCTTCTTACAGCATTAAAGCATTTCAGTGCACATTTAGATGCTTTGTGGAACAGGTGTTGTAAATGCAAATCGTAAGGCTATATTCTGTCAGTACTGTTGAGTTATGGTAAGAACAAAACCTTAAAGTGAAATTCTGTAAGATTTGACAGCTCTTTATTTATAAGTAATTGACAAGAAAATTATATGCTTGCCTGATTTAGACAGGAAAAGTGTTTGTACAGGAGGGTGTTAACCTTTGGACCAAAACTGTTTATTATGCCGCAAGTGCGGTATGGTTTGGGTGAAATCACTTCCTGGTTTTGCTCTTAAACTCTTAACAAGCTTTAGCTCTTATTTGAGCTGTAAGGGGAAATTCTTTGTGGTGTGACTTCCTCAGAATGGATGCCTACCTCTTTCTTCCCAGTTGTTCAAGGCCAGTTTCACAAGAAAATACATTAACAATCCTATGGAGGCTTTAGGAAACAGGTATATTCATTAAAGCAGACTTGGGGTTCTGTGTTGACTCGGTCCTGAAGGCTTCTTAGCAGTCTTCCTCAAGACTGTGCATGCTGTCTTTGGCCTTGTGAAGTGTAGTTCTTAATGCTTCATCATGTAAAGTTTTAGGATAAAATGGGCAGGATAATCTTTCCATCAGTAATAGTACCACTTTATTCCTTTTTAAATTTATGATAACTCATTTGTCTCTGTATCACTTGAAGAAAATCTTAAAACAACTCTCACTTCTCTTTCCCCTCATTATTCTTACTAATAGAATAATACGACCTCATATGTTTGTTGGCTTGTCCCATTCATCTGCTCCCTCTGTTCCCTTTTTATGTTGAGGCTTTTTTGGGCCGTTTGTGATGTTTGCTATTGCTGTGAGTTGTATTCTCAGTTTTTATCTTACGCATATCCCTTATTTTAATTAAATACGTTTTGGAAAGCAAAAAATTAAAAAAAAAAACAAAACTCAGTGATGCCAGAACTTTGTTTTCAAATCTTGACCTTGCCTCTGGGAGCAGTGTAGATTAATCAAACATGGTGCCGGGGACATTCATAGGACCTTGCAAAAGGATCCTTTATAATACATGTACCCCAGGGTTTTACCCAACATTTTTTTTCTCACTTATCAGATAGAGAAATGACATTACTGGTGCTGGTTTCTTTAGCTTCCTGACATCTGCAGCCTAGCTGTTTGGCAAAGGTGGCACAGCTATTTCCCTTCCACCTTTGCTTTAAAGCACAGAAGTGTCTTCTTTCCAAATGCTTTGCATGCTTCTGTACCTTTTCTGTCTATATTAATGACAGTTTTCTAAAGTTATATGTTCAAGACCACAGAAATGCAGTGCTGTGATACACTGTCATTGTCCGCTTGATGTGGGCACATTTATTATTTTTGATCGGAAAAAGCACAGAGATGACTGGCCCAAAGATAAGATTAAATTCAAATTTGTTTGAAGAAAGTCTATTTTTTCAGAGAGAAATCTGATTTTTGTTTTGCTATTCTCATGAAAACATCTGAATTCTGATTGTATTCCATAATATGCTCTGGCTGATGTTCTGGGTAATTGTTTTTAAATGCATTTGATTTAGGATAACCATACTACAGTAACACACAGTAGTAGGTGCAGTGGGGTCTCAACATCAATTGACCACACTTGCTACAGATGCACCTCAAATGTTTTAACTGAAGAGATTTTATGGAAGTGGAACAAGGAGAGCTTTTCATGAGCTTACAGTGATTTAAAGTTATCACACTTTACTTGACCATGCACAAGCCAGTCCATTAGAATGCAAACTAAATTGATTCACCTGATTCACCTTTGATTGCCTTTGAATATTGCAAAGACCTTTTGTGTATACCTTGACTGTAGCTTTTAAAAGTGAACAGATATTTTCAGGTGCCCAGGATGAAATTTTTTTAAGAAGCTTAGCATTCACGGTTAGTGGACTATTGGTGTTTTGTTGAAGTGAACCTTTTCATTTTATGTCAGATTGGTTGTCTGTTTCAGAGTGAATAAAATCACTTCTGAAAGTCTAATTCCATTACTTTCTTATAACTGAAAATCATCTGGTTTGGAATTAAGGAAAGAAGGATTTCAGAGTAAGAGAAAAATGTGCTGGTAAATTTTCTAATCTTATTAAAGCTAATCTCGATGTATTAGCAGTGTTTATTTTTTAAGAACAGTTCAAATACAAATATAGTGTGGTGTGGATCAACTGCAGTTCTCGTTAGCTAGTGTGTGTTTTTTTTTTTTTTAATTTCTATCTAGGTCCTATTTCTATGGACAAAGTTCATTATTGTGAGAGGTTCATCGAACTCATGATAGATCTTGAGGTAAGCTACAAAATTATTTCCAGTCTGTTTCCAGGTCTGCTCTGAGGTTTTATATGCATCAAATATAATTTGCAAATATATGCATCAAATATAATTTAATAAAATAATAATTTTACAGCTTTATTCCAGGTAGCAGGTGGTTATGTTGTGATTGTGTATGTAGTCACTTAATACTGGTTTTCCATCTGTAAATAGGAGATTGTAGCAGTACAGTCACTTTGGGAACTGAGTAGTAATGTTTATAAGTCAGATAAATACTAGTGAAAGCTGTGATCCTAAATTCTTCAATGAAGAAGACTTTGATGAGAGCAGTGGTAATTCTGGCAATTAATGAGAATATCCAAAGTTTAAATCCATTCAGGTTAATCTAGGAGTATTCCTCCTAATGCGTAATAGACCACTTAAAGTATTTCTGGTGTAGTGAAATATAGCCTCAGGAGGTATGAGTAGTTCTTAAATCCAAACTATTTCTAGTTGACTGTATTTCGTTATTTAAAAAAAGTGGTCCTGGTGATCATTTGTTATAGAATAGTGAGGAGGTCGAGTGAGATTTTGTGAAATTTACATGCAAGTACTGAGAAAATGGGAAATTTTTAAACTTCACAGCACCAGAATTTAAAAAAAGAAGAGGCATGTTAATTAGTAACTTCTCTCATGAGTGGCAGTGTATTTTAAATTTTTTCAGCTTAATAAGACATTCTGAAATAGAGCAGGATGTACTGAAACAGTAAGTACAGGGGTTTTAAAATAGCTTGTTCTTGAACTCATGCAGGCTAACTGTCCTTTGCTAAATTTCTTTAATAGTGTATGCTTGTAATAGTAATTAGAGCTCATTGTCTTAGAGAGATAATATATTCTTATTAGAGAGAAGATGTATTTGATGTTAAACGAATAAGTCTGACTATCAGACAGTATGTTTAGAGGCAGTAATGTTGGTTCTCACTAGGTATTACGGGAGGGTTAGAATTCAGAGTTTATGAAGCCTGTGTAGTGACCGTAACAAGCAAGAGAAAAATTAGCTATAAAACCAGGTCTTTCTGCCTCAATGCTTTGTGTTAATTGGTTATTGTTATACATGATGAGGCCTTTTTTCAGGATATTTCTGATTCACATTAAATTACATACACTGCAATCAAAACTAAGTAATTTAGTATGAGGACTTCTCTGAAGGTGTTAGGTAACTGTTGCAGCAGTCTATCTTGATCTGCCTTCTTGAAATGGAAAAATATGAAAAACTAGAATTTCTAAAATTTTGAAGAATTACTTGTCCTCATGTGAGGTTGTTTATCCCAGGCCTTGCTTCCCACACGACGCTGGTTTAATACAGTATTAGATGACTCCCATCTTGTTTTTCACTGTTACCTGTCTAGTCTTGCCAAGAGAGAAAAGGAGGGTCACCTCTTCTGCCAGGTGAGATTCAAAGTTACTGAAAATACTTTTTTCATTCTCATGTGACTCTGAATGTTGCCATTACTGTGTTTTATGTTTTGTTGTTAAGAAGAAAGTTTTTATTAATGTTTCTGATGGAGGCAAACTACTCATTTATTTAAATCCTTAAGACAGTAGTCTTTTCTTACCTGTGCCCATGTGTGCTTTTATGTTTCTGGCTCTATTTTTGAGCAGGTTTTAAAAATGCAATCCACAAAACAATGCCGTTTCAGTGGCATGCTTTACCACGCGTATAGCAGAAGTCAGGTCACTGATGCGATTTCTCCCTCCTTTGTTTTGACCTCAAACTGTTTTACAGTGCAGCTGTTTTTCATTGGTGTCCTTTAGCTTACTGTATCATAGATAGTAAGCTGGTTTTATGGCAGGACCTGGAAGTCTCTCCCAATCCCTGCTTCCCATCTACTTGTTCCTGCTACTTACTGTCTCCCTTCTCTGGTACTTATTGAATCTCTCCAAGGGTCAGTATTGATGGAACATAAAGTCAGCAGCACATCTGAATAGTTTTCTTCCTTTTCTGAGTTAAATAACTTCATGAAAAGGTAGGAAGCATTCCAGAGCTGGCATATGAGAGGGCAGGAGGCAGCAAGACCTCCACCTTTTGCTAGCAGCAAGCTGGAAGTTTGGTTCAGTGCCCTGGTGAACCCCCATATAGGTTATCTAAGCAGTGGAATTATTTCAGTTTCAAGTCTTGGTATCTAAAAGAAACTACTCTGATTGTCAGCTGTGATATGATTTCTTTGAGTTCTCGATGAGATTTCTAAACAAAATTGTTATGTGCATCAGCCAAAAATAAAGCATAGGTACTACTCCTTAGTCTGTTTCTCTGAGTGCTTTGAGGAGCTTTCTTTGTGTGTGATGCCCAGACTTTTCCTGTTGAATTGTGTTTTTTGTTTGTGGTAGGGTGTCTGTCTTAATCCACTAATTTATATGCATGATGTCTCAGCTTTTAGATATGCTTAAATTCTACACTGGCTTTGAAATCAATGATCAAACTGGAAATGCTTTGACAGAGAATGAGATGACAACCATTCACTATGACAGAATTACGTCTTTACAGGTAGGCTGAGATTGAAGGGTTTGGGGAAGAGAAGGGGTGTAGTTCTACTTTTTTTAAACCTAATCTGCAACTAGAATAGGAGTTAAATCATTTCCAAAAGCAAACCCATTATTTTTCCTGTTGACTTACAGGAATAGTTTTAACTTGACTTTTGCATACCATATTGAGGACTTCATTAACACTTCATGTTATATGTGTGGATAAAATAAAAATAAATAGCCCATACAGAGGCCCTAAATAAAGTAATGGTCAGGGTCAGTAGTCGTGTAATCTGTTCTAGCAAAACAAAACCATGTTTGGCTTGATGTTGTCATTTTAATTTAAGATGAGCTGCTCACACTAAATTACTCAAGGGAAAATTAAATGCAGTAAGGATTTAATTTATGGTTATGCAGTAGGTGGCACCATTTCTTCAAAATCGGTATACGTATGCAATAGCAGTAGCGCTTCCTTCTACATAAAGAGACAAAATCAAGGTCTATTATCAGCTGTAGTCATAGAAAGATATAGCTACACTTTTCAAAATTTTTCACGTCAGTTTTAACAACAAAATGCAGGGAAGGTTGGTATGTAAAACTTATTTCTTGTTATCCTTGGTTGTCTGCAAGGTTACCTGTCTGTCCTCTTATGTTTTTATTTTAATGACAAAACCAGCAAGAGCTGATGGGAGGTATTTCAGAAGGACAATATGTCCAAGAAAAATGGAGATTTCACTTCCAGCTTTTATTTCTATTGTGACAGTGCCCAAAGGGTGCTATGGGCTATGAATCAGAGGCGGCTATGCTTATGTGTAAGTGTTTAGATTATTATTAAATTTTTTCATTAACATGCTTAAATTCAGCCTTTTGGGGTTGGTGTTTTCTAGAGAGCAGCTTTTGCACATTTCCCAGAGTTATATGACTTTGCACTCTCAAATGTAGCTGCAGTAGATGCTCGTGATTCACTGCTGAAGTTATTTGGACCCCTCAGGTAAGTCATCACAGTGAAATATAACATGAAACTGAATTTTTTTTTTTCTCATTATGTTTTAATTTAACAAATTTCTAACCTTTTTGTGTCTGACTTCTTATGCCAATAAGACCAGTTCATGTTTATTCTTTTTTGGTGACTTTGCCTATTGAAATGGGGGAAAAAAGGAGAGCTTGAATCCACTAGTAGAAAC